GGGGGGGGGCTTCTCACATGTGCAGTCCTCGCACAGGGGCAGCTTCAAAAAGGCCGGAGTCTTCTTCAAGAAGGACACAGTGAGGGTCACTTCTTCACCTGCGTTCCTCAAAACCTGGACCTGAAAGTTACAAACACAAAGATATTTTGTTGTAGAGAAGTTTAAAATGTGCATACAATAGTCCCTCCCTACTTCGCGGTTCAACTTCTGTGGACTCGCTCTATCGTGATTTGTGGACGTACAGTCCATAATATCGTACAAAAAAATTGTGCAGTACTCATGATTGTCAAATTTAATATTACTCATGTGCTGGGACAGTACAGGATACTGTACTGTACAGTAAAAAATCAAAGTTAAGAAAACATAAAATACTTGGGACAGGTGCCACCATTTTGTAGTTTTCTCTCAGTAAGCGTCCACTGTATTCCCGCTCATAATGACCACATTTCCCAGAAAGCAACAGGGTCCCACCCAGAAGCCCTATTTCCTTCTGCTGAAAAAGCCAGAGGTAAAGTTTTGATCTGATCAGAGCCCCTGGAGCAGAACCAGACTTCCAGAATCATCGGTGAATTTTGAGAGCGGATAGTCTGTCCACATGGACTCCGAGTGAACACGTGTGGACGTAGGTCCGGCGCTTCATCTGAAGCTCCACTGGACTTTTTTCATGTCTTTCAACTGGACAACGACGAGCCATCGGTGGACGTGTACAGCCGATTGTCCGGTGGTCCATCTGAAGCTCAACAGGACATTTTTCATCTCTTTCAACCGGCCAACGACGAGGACTTTCGAACGGGGACACACTGATAAGTAAAATTTAGTAGCTACATATAAGTATGTGGTTAAAAATTAGTGAGTTTAGAACATTGATTGCGGGCTTCATTGCTGCAGGGTACGTCTGCAGAAATGGAACAGAGTCGGACCAGAAACGAACTGTGCCGCTGCTGTTCTGCAGAGGTGCCAAGTAAAATTTAGTAGCTACATATAAAGTACTGTACATATGTTGTTAAAATGACGTAGGTTTAAGAGTTTAGAACATTGTAAGAGTGTGGGAAGGGTTTTTAAAGCCTTTATATATATATATAAATACTAAAATAAATATAATGTCGCTTAGTGGAATTTCACTTACTGTGGGTGGGTTCGGAATTGAACCCCCGCAATAAATGAGGGACTACTGTAATTTTTTTTCCTCACCTTTAAAAAAACAACTTTCATATCACTAACTGCGATGAAACATGGCACAACGGTGTCTAAGCTAAGAATGGAAATCCAAGATAAGGGATTTAAACAGGCTGCAGGTTTTATGCTACTTACATAAAATTCTTACAGTTTTACACTTATGAGATAAAAGAAAGGGAAAAATTGGCTTTACATGTCAGAGAGATACAAATCATCATCGGAGACAAGATAAGCTGTTGAAAGAGTTGTGGCGGTGTAAGAAACTGGGAGATCTGAGCTGACAGCTTACCACTTCCTCGTGGCGATAGCTTCTGACGTTTATTCCATTTATCTGGAAACAAGAGTAACACAGGTAGCAACAAACTCACAGGTACCTGAATCACACTTCTGGCATCATACTCCTAAAACTCCAACTCCAACATGAATAATGAGACAAGCATAATAGCTGTTGTGGCATCTGTGCAAGAAAGTGTAAATAAGAATGTCACATGCACAGTTATTATGTGGGAGGTGTGATTTTTTTTTTCTTGTACAATTTTTCTATTCATTTGGCTGGAACACATGCAATTTATAAAAGTGCTTTGCCTATGGGGATAAGTAATTATTCCACATAGTTCCAGGGACATGTGGCAGATGAATTATTAAAAAGCTGGGTGTGTTATTTTGCAGAATGAGAGGAGGAAACATTTTTGTGACATTTTACCTGAAGGATGCCGTCTCCAATGAAAAGCAGTCCAGAGAGTTCGGCTGGAGACAAACAAAGTGGGAACAACCTTTTAACAAACACACATTATCGGCTTGAAATAAAACCCTAGCAAGATATTGGCGTACCTTTTTGTTCCTTTGATATTTTTGATATCACAACAGGGATTTTATGCTCTGCTCCACCCTAAAGTTGCAAAAGAAAACAAACTGAATCACATGGCAGTGCATAGCTGTCACTTTTCATGCAGTTTGACAAAAAAATAAAGATCAATAAGACTCAAACTCAAGTTAAAGAACTGCAGATGAGCAGCCTCGTTAGATAGGATCTTAATTACCTTGATGCTTAAACCGAACCCTCCAATTGTCTGTCTCCTGATCGTTACAGTCCTCTCCTGCAAATTGAAAGGAGAAATGAGCTCAAATTGCTGTTGGGTACATAACAACTGAAATGCCATGATAAAATGAGCTGTTTGCAAATATAAATCAACTTTGAGGGACATTTTTCGTTACTGTTGCACATTTAAAACACTCAGTGAGCAGCATGAAGTCATATATTGCAATCACCATATTTACTGATTATTAATTGGATGATTATGTCTACATTGTCAAACGATATAAATATTTTAACACTTTTCTTTGAAAAATATAATGCCATACTCAATAAGACAAGCCAGGGGAACACAGTTTGGGCCTTTTATCATAAATTTTCTCAGTTTCAATCTGATGCATGCAAACTCCACCCAGAAAGACCTCCGGACCGGGATTTGAATTGGGGACCTGCTCGATGAGAGGCAGCAGCTCTACTAGTTGCACCATGCTGCCCTGATTTTACTAATATCGAGAGAGAGAGAGAAAAAAAGAACTTCTGATACATTATGCAGCTAAGGAAGAGGATTAGGGCCATGGTCCAATAATTTTTTTCCCTTAATTCTGAGAAAAAAAAGTCAGAATTCTGACTTTAATCTCAGAATTCTGACTTTAATCTCAGAATTCTCTTTAAACTCAAAATTCTGACTTTAATATCATAATTCTGACTCTTTAATCTCAGAATTCTTACTTTAATTTCAGAATTATGACTTTTTAATCTCAGAATTATGACTTTTTAATCTGAGAATTATGACTTTTTAATCTCAGAATTCTGACATTTTCTCAGATTTCTGACTATAATCTCAGAATTCTTTTCTCCGGGTACTCCGGTTTCCTCCCACAGACCAAAAACATGCATGTTAGGCTGATTGGTAACTCTAAATTGTCCCTAGGTGTGAGTGAGAGAGTGAATGGTTGTTTGTCTCGTTTGTTTCTATGTGTCCCTGTGATGGACTTGCGACCCGTCCAGGGTGTACCCCGCCCCTCGCACAGTGATTGCTGGACATGGGCACCGGCGACCCCCGTGACCCAAAATGGAATAAACGGGTAAAGAAAATGGATGGATGGATGGATCTCAGAATTCTGACTTTAATCTCAGAATTCTTATTTTAATTTCGAATTCTGACTTTTTAATCTCAGAATTCTGACATTTTTCTTGGAATTCTAACTTTTTTCCCTCAGAATTAAGGGGAAAAAATTGCACCATGGCCCTAATCCTCTTCTGTATTCAGCTCTATTCAAGACTAGAATGTAAATCCTGCGAAGGCCACACAAAAACCTAAAACTTTTTGTTAGTCACTGCTTTAGTTTTGCATCTCATGGGATTTTTAACAGTGACAACATGTGGGAACGTAATATTTTTACATTAGATGTCAAGTTTAATGTTAATCTGAATCTTCCCAATCATTTAATGCTTTTTAGTGGAAATATGAGTCAATGTGTCTTTTTGTTAGTGGACCAATCAGAATGCTCAAACGCTGTGTTGCTGTTGAGGCACGGCACTTTTTGGTTTTATCAGACCCCCACCAGAGAAACGTCTGGCCGACCCAGGCATGGCTGAGTGGAAATCTGCTTGAACAGGAGGAAGGCCAGACACTTTCTGCCAGAGCAAATGAAACATAATCTCTCTCGGTCATCTGGCTCTGCAGTGAAGTTTGATTCTGATGTGAAATCTACCGCGGTCAGCGAGGCTAAAACCTTTTTTGGCGTGGCAAAGATGTTTCCATGTCGTAGCCATTTCCGTTGGTCAGTAGAAATGTTTTCAACAACATAAACCTTTATTTGTCTTAGACTTTTTCCTCCATTAAACTGAATAAATGTAAATTGGGTAAAAAGCTGTGGACTCTGATCTCAAACCAGCACTTTTTCATGGAAAAAGGTGCATTTTTAATGTGTGGGAAAGGCTGTCAAAGGAGATGACAAGTGAGATCTACTCAACACACCAAGATGAGCAAGCAAGTCACTCTCTAATGGCTAGATTTCATTATTAAGACTGATGAAGAACTGCTACGAGCACAGACACTCACGACATTGACTGGGTCACTTACGCTCGAATAGAAAGGTTCTCCCGACACACAGATGACGTCTTGTTCCTGAATGGTCAGAATGTCTTTCGCCAAGTGCAGTCGAATATTAAACGGCTCCTCATTACCTTCTTGCATCAAATAAATCCCAGTCTTTGTCTGCGGACAGTCAGACAGATAAAATCATTCATCATCTCTCCGTGACTAAATTAACTGGCCATGAAATGGAATGTCATTGAGCGTACTCAATGCAGGACGGAACATGGAAATTAGTTTTGGGTGTCATTTTCATTTTAACTGTTGCTGCTAATGACAAAACAAACAACCACATTTATAGTAATAAATATAAAATAAATCAGGAAAGATTTAAAAAAAAAGAAAACTTTTAATGGTTTTAAATACTGAGAAAATAAAAGGACTGCTGTGTGCTTTATCCAAAGACAAAGTAGCTCAGATTATATAATCTCCTTTAGTGTAGATGAAGATGCTGAATCAAAAAGCAAAAATAAATAAATAAGTCAAACCTGCTCTCCACATTCAAATGAGTCTGCTTTAAATTAAGCAAGCGTGAGGACTGTGTGTGTTTCCAACGATCCCTTTAAAACATGCTCATTTGCATACATTTGCATTCTGCGTATCCTTCCTCCTCCGGGGCTAATTGTGATGCCGGTCCTGATCTTCAGTTGAAAAAAAAAAGGTCTGAATAAAAGAAGCACCTTCACCTGACAAGACTGCTAATAGAAGAAAGCCACCATCAGCGGATGAGACAATCAGCTGCATCGCTGACGTTCGGTGAAAAGAGAGTCTCTGAAACCCGACGTCGGACTCGAATTGGACTCGGTTTATGGTGCGTACTGAGTTATGGTGCAGTCGTGATGAGGAACGTAAAGAAACGAGCCTCCCGCTTGTGACCGCCGTGTAAGAATTGAAACGAGGGAGGCGTTAATTCATATTATTTGAAGTAATGCGTCTGTGCAAGCATCATTAGCGTAACAAAATGAGGGCAGTCCTGGCTGTAAATTAGCCAGGTCAGGCAGGTGTCTGCGTGTCGCCTGACCTGCTGTTCCGCTTCTATTGCAAATAATTAGCTTTATCTTCCATCCTGTTTGGCGCTGCTCTGTCGCTCCCTCCAACAGAGCTGCTGTCATCTTCAATCCGACAGCAAGCGTGTCACATTTTAGACGCTACACAAGCCATGCAGGGGACGGCTTGTTTTTAACTGGGAGCAAAACTAAAACTTCCCCCCCGATCCAGCTTGAATGTACTCTAAGGCTGAACAATTAATTGCGTTTGCAATAATATTGTGATATAACGAGATTTTCTAATCGCAAAGGCTGAAATTTGACTGGTCACGTGATCTGGTTACGTCACTTGTGAGTGAGCGGGGCAAAAGATTTTAGAGCATTAAAGGGATTTTTCATTGCATTTAGATTTTTGAGGGTGATAATCAAAACACACAATTGTTGCCAAAGATCTTGAAATAATTTAAAGAGTTTATTTAATTCTCTTTTTTAGTCATGTGTCAGTGAGGACATTAGTATGGTGCTGTAAAGAATATCGGTGGGAAATGTTTTTAGGTTGTGTAAAATCAAACGAAAACTGATCCTGAGAGGCATTTTCAGCCTGAAGCTCATTCTGCAGAGTAGACCGAGAAGGAGGTCATGGGTGAACAAGGAGACCACAACTAAAGACATAAAGACACCAAACTGTGGTGGACCATGTTGTTTTACAGAGGAGACCAAGCAGACCTTTGTGAATGTAGGCGTGCTCTCAGCTGTGAAGAACCTCGGAGTGATAAAAGACGAAGAAGCTTTCGTTTATTCTTCTCAATTTACATGCCTTCTTTTATAACTGTCTACTGTTGTCATCACTCTTTGTTAAAATCAGGTATCTCTTGTAAATGAGTCTACGAGGCTCATTGAGACTAACCTGTATAAATAAAGCAACAAAGTTCACGCTCAATCATCCAGGTACCAAATCCAATAATTCTCAGTCGGGTCATCTGGACAGTTTCTTTTTCATAGAGACGTTTCGCCCTCTATCCGGAGGGCTTCATCAGTCAGAGGAGTTCCAGTAAACGGTTTCCCCACCAAGCAGTACACTCCTTAAGTGGACCAACCAGTTTGCAGGAGCTAAGATGGTTTCTGATAGGCCGTTCTGTCCCTCGTCGACTCCTCCCAGGCAGGCAGCCACAGCCAAAGTGGTTCAAGGCAACAAAGTTCATGTTCAATCATCCAGGTACCAAATCCAAATAAATAACGTTGTATAAATAAAGGATGAATGAAACGCAGAGCAGGGAGCGGGAGAAGTCAACACTGCGTTTTAACCGGTTGCACAATGGCGTCAGGCTCGACAGAAGCCGATACATCTGAAAGTTTGGTACCAAAGAGGGGCAGCACGCCCGTTGTTTGGAATTATTTTGGTTATAAAAAAGAAGACGCTGTGCATCATGTATTGTGCAGAACCTGCCTTGATGCTGTTGCTACCTCTCGAGGTAACACCTCAAATCTTTATCAACACTTAAAAATATGCCACAAAGCCATTTACGATAGTTGCATGGCTAGAATGCCAACGACCAGTGCTTCAACTTCAAGTAAGTAAAGTAGCAGCCGACAGGGATCACTGACCGAACTGTTCGAAGCTATAACTCCGTATGAACATAAGTCGAAACCGCACGTGGAAATAACTCGAGCAGTACAGGAGTTCATAACGAAAGTGGCGGGGGGGGTACTTTTTTGGCAGTGATAGGAAATTAAAGTGAGGAAACTTTTATTTAGGAACTAAATAAAAGGTTTGCTGAAGTGATGGAGGTGGAGCAGAAAGAAATAAAGGTGTGCTGATAAGGACAAAAAAATGTTCTGACCTCAAGCTACAAAAGAGAAAATGAATTATTATGTCTTGTTTCTGGTAATTAATGCCTCCCACTCCACGTGGATTATTCCCACTAGACTTTATAAAGCTCAGCGTTTACACATAAGCAGCAGATGGAAACATGCGTGTTGGGGCTAAACTTTTCTTAGAGATAGGAATGATTCCTTGTCGGCGTGTAGCGTTACAAACAACCAGTTAGACAACGATTTCCTGTCAACGTTGAAGATGAGTTCGTTCTATAAATGAGGCCCCAGGAGTGAAAATAACGAGTCTTTAGGAAGACAACTTGCTTCCAGGCTTTCAGTGGTTTCAAAGTAAAGTTTTGTTGCTGTTTGATTTTTCCTTTTCTTTTTACAATATTGTGCCTCTTGATCAATGGAGCAGCACCAGCCTCGTTCTGAGAAACAGCCCCGCGGGCCTCGTTCGCAACGAGCATTCAAAAGTGGACAGTGAACGCATCGATGGCAAACTGAGACCTGATCAGTCACGTTTAGAGGTAGTCTGGGCTGACGTTCTTTAAAGATGAATGTGTCCCGAGCCATATTAAATGATTAAATGGTTTCCTTTGGCCGAATGAGGGCTGCTTGTTTACTGAAAAAGAAATTTGTGTTTAATAGACCACAAACGACTGCATGTACAAAAACCCTTCCCTGCAGCAGCAGTGAACAAAGACCAGAAGTAAACAGAGTCCATCTTGTTTGTTTTCAAAGAAATGCAAATTATTGTCCTTATATATAAATCAGAAACTAACTTTGGGCCTTTATAACTGATATTATCTTTCTATGAATCAATCTTGTGTCATCTAAAATGAGGGGAAGGAAACGTTTGTTGCATTCTGAATTGTGTATTTTTTCTTGTTTATCATTAAATATATATTTTTTCTAGCACAAACTGACCCATTATAAAAAATTCAAGGTATAAAGCTTCAGCTTGTGTGTTTTGTCAGCAGAGATTCACTCACAGAGCTGACCAGTGTAACATCAATCATTTCATGTATTTGTCTTTGGTTCCTTGTCTCACACAGCAAACATATTGAAGATTTCATCAAAACACAGTCAGTAACAGGACTCAGGCTGGTTTGAAGCGTGTCAGACTGATATCTGGGTTTTACGTGTTTCTGAATGCAACTCTGGATTGGAGGTCCTACGTGCTTCTTTGCAGCTTAACGTGAATCATGTTCTACTGAGAAACAGGATCTCTTCACAAACTCGTATTGATTTTAAGTCAATGTAAATTTTATTTATAAGCTAAATAAAAATGAAAGATCTAGCGTTCCTTGAATGTCACCCACTGCCCTTCATACCAGAGTTTTAAACTAAGACTTTCTTTGTTGTTGAGAAATGATTGTTGCATGTAATGTGATCTTGCATTATCTGTTAGCTCTTGGAATATGTCTGAGGATGACCGTCAGCTACCACCACTCAAAAGCTTAGCTCAGTGTAAGTAAAATGGACTGAGTTGTAGCAATCTTTGTGCTGGCCACAGCTGTGGCAGCCATCTTGAATTGTGTTGACTCTAAATCCTAATCAGTTGTAGATGTAATAAATAATTTATGTGAGTTTCATTGAACTTCGTCCAGTGCTTTAAGATATATTTTGCTAACAGACAAACAGGGTTGATTTCAAAAATTTAAACAAAGATTTTTAGCAATATGTTGTGCAAAAATTCTGTGTTGGAAACTGTTTAGCTACACCCAAACTAAGTTTTAGCTCAGTATTTGTAATGTGGTTGAATTTTAATCATTTTTGTTTCCTAACATCAGCTGACCGTGATCTTGAACTGAGTTTGCTCCAAAAGCTAAGTCACTGTGCATGTCAGTCCAATGCTTACTTTTTGAAATTATTAAAATCTGCTCGGCGATTTATGAGATATTTTACTAATGGTTCAAACAAACAAACATGTGCACACATACAAAAACTAGAGATGCACCGATCCGATATTAGTATCGGTATCTGTACCGATATCTGGAAAAAATTATAGATCGGGTATGGATGAAAATGTGACCAATCCATAAGGACATAAGCTGATTACAGTTTATTTTAAATATCTGCCAACCAAGCCAGTGAAGCTAATGTTTTTTTCCTTTTATTTCAGCTCCTTTATTAATTATTTTACATTATATTTAGAAATCCTGAAACATTTGAAAGGTTTGTTGAAGTTTATTTTTTTATGTTTGACCAAAGTTGTCAACCTATTGTTTTTGTCATTTTCAGTATCTTTATTATTATTTATTTTACATTGGCCAATATTAAACCTCAGGCATCCGTATCGGAAGAGGGAAAAAAGTTGGATCGGTGCATCCCTAACAAAAATAAGCATCCATCACCTCCCTCTTTTCTTATAGCTCAGGAGATCAGAATCAAAACGCTCAAAACAAAATCTCAAAGCTGAATTATGATAAAGAAAAGGCTGCTGATCCAGACTGGAGGCTGTTTTCCACATCTCCCAAATGTCTGGGCACATATAATCACCACCAATTGTATCATTGATTAAATCCAACCAACCTCTTCATTCGATGTCTTGAAATCCATGTGCTACAATGCAGTGAGAGAATCTGCAATGGAGAAGAGCAAGCTGGAGTTAGACTGTGGGGACAAACGCTTAATGACACAACCGAGCCAAGCAGCAAAAGCACACAGCTGAGTTAATTCAGCATTGTTAGCAGGATGCCTATACTCATTATCCTCCAGTATTTCTCATATGGATTGCAGACAATGCAGGGAAATGTATTTTTTTTTTCTATTTTGCAATTAAATGTGCCTCTTCTAAACTTAACTGAGCTAAAACCTCCACGGAGCAATTTTCTGGAGAAAACTGGAGGCCATTAGGCACTGATGAATAATTTATTAGCAAAGGTGAGAGCCAAGGTATCCTGATAAATGTTTCAATATTGAATCCATCCTTCCTGAAATGAACTGTGTTACGGTGTCTGACAGCTTGTCACTGAGCCGCGGAGGAATGAGCGACGATCTAAGAACCGCCACCGAGGGAAAGTGGTTAAAAAAAAGTTAAGGATCAATAACAAATAGCACGTTTAAATCATCCTGTTGCGTTCTGTGGAGGCTTCAGGAGTGCTGTGCGGAAGCTTCAGCTACATCGAGAATCGGTTTTGATCAGACGCGACTGCCACTTGACTCGACTAAACAAGTGCAGGAGAGAAATGGATCACGCTTGAAGGAGACAACCTGAGCTGCGGCGGGAGACTGAGACTTACCTCAGCAGAAAGGCCCCCAGCTCTTCGAGTGCAGAGGTCTAGCCATCGAGCAGCGAGCTGATCCCTGATCTGAGCCGTAGCGGGGGGCCTCTGTGGATCATGGCTGTCAGATTTGGGTGGGAGTGCAGCGCTGTCACTTGTCCTGGCTGGCTGTGTAAGCAGTGTATTTCCCACTGGAGCAGATTGAGGCTGGAGGATTTTCTACCCGAAGCAGGATGATGCTAAGGTATCATTCTGTCATGATGCGTGCTTGAGAGCTGAAAAAAAAAAAAGAAGAAAACGTTAAGTCTGAATGTTGTTGATTACATGCTTCCGACTGGGACTGAAAATATGTAATCTGCGTTTGCCAGCAATCCAAACAGGAGTGTTTTCAGTGAGACGGCTGCATGTATGAGGGATGTCAAATCAGAAGCAATTCCAAGCTCTATTTGCCAAATAAGCACCTAGTAAGAAAAAAAGGGATACTCAAATACAAAACTACAAATTTGCTTCTCGATGAAGGATCTCCTCGAGCACTTCCTCGCACAAAAACCTGTGCATTCATGAGCACGAGTGGGAAAAAAAAAAGTAATTAACTCTTATTCTACTTTCTTGGATTTCTGAATAATGAGCAGATTTTTTTCCACTACATGTAATAAATTCCAACAGCAAACGCTTGAGAAATGATCCTCGTTAGTGCCATTGTTGACGCAATGGCGCCTTTCTGTTGAACTGCAGCGTAGCTACTGATCCTTGTTTTACAGGATTAAAGAAAGAAATTTTGATTATTATAGTGATTTTATCTCAGCTTCTCCTTGGATATGCGGCATGTTATGGGAATTTTAATGAGGAATTTTTTTTAATCAACTTTATATTTACATTATAGGTGTTTAGGTTCTTTTCTATGTCTGTTGTTCAAAACAAAATAAAAGATTTTTCAAAGCATCGCTCCCATTTATGTTAGATTTGAACAGAAGTTGCCATAGTGACCAGTCTTGGCTAGATTAGCCATCAGTCTAGGTCAACAGAATTATATATAACTTTAATTTAAAAATAATTAATGCCCACCACTGTGAAAAGTGGAAAATTTTATAATTGCTTGTACGTGCCTCCATCTGTATTCAGTTCAAGTTGGCCACCACAGTCAACTTTATCACCTACCAGAAATGATAGTAATATAGTAATTTTGACAAATGTGAGCTAAGATTTGGTGTGGTAGTAGCTGAAGGTCACCCCCAACTCATACTTTGAGCTCTTTTGTTTAAAACTTGGGCATCCAAGGTGGCAGACAATACTGTATGTTCAATGAATGCTTCTTCCACTTGGAAGGTGTTTTACATTTCCTGCATTGTTTGACCAATTTCAGCTTGTTGAAATATGTTTCATCACCACAGGGTGTATTTTTCTTCTCAACAATAAGGCAGGAAGTCAAGACAGGATAGCAATATATATATTATCTCATGCAGGGAACAAGGTGACCAGGTGTCCCTGTTTCTGTGGAACCAAGCAGCATTTGTATCCCTTGTTTCTTGTCCCAGAAAAATGGAGATGATGTCCCACATTTTGTTTGGCTTTCCTCCTTCAACAGTCATCACCCCGAGACATACTGTATGTGTTTCTAAGACTTATTGAATGACCCTGAAGAAATCAGGGAAGGACTGAGTCACAGAGGTCGCTTCGTTTAAGTCAGGCTGCACACGTGGGTCAGGTTCAGGTTATTCTGTCCCCATTTTTATGCACAACAAAAAATAATAATAACAAAACATAAAATGATAGCTTCAAGTGTTCAAGTTTGAATAAATTATCATGGAAACTACCGCCAAGAAAATAATTATTTCCAAAAGTAAAATAACTCAAAACTCTTAGTGTGTACACTGTGAACGTTAATTAAAAAAGCATATTCATTGTTTTTTACAAGGTTAGACATTTAATCTGCAATATGCAGTCCATGTGATCAATATTATATATTTCTTATTTATTTTGATCGTTAATGAAGTGGACAAAAACACTTTAATTCGTTCTACAAAAGAAAAAACCACAGCTCATGAACAATTAAATTAACAACTGATGTCATTTTTAAACCTGTAAATCTAACCTTTGACAGGATCCTTGTGTTTTTGTCTTCTTGTGATTGTATTTAATTTCTCTGAGTGTGTTTGTGTTTTCAGCTTTCCAAGTGTCCCCCCATGTAGTTAGCTCCTGCTCCTCCCACGCTCACCTGATCCTCATTGTCTTTCCTCAGGTGTTTGTCACTGTCCATCGTTAGTGTCTCTTTAAACCCCGTCATTTTGTCACTCCCTTGTCCGTGGATTGTGCTTCCCAGTCGTCATGCTCTCTTTCCTCTGTGTCTCCCCGTACTCTTGTTTTTTGGTAAGTTTTTCTGCCTCATCAGATTTTGTGTTGAGTTTTCTTTATTAAATAAGTTCACTTTATTTTTACCCCTGAGTTCCTCCGAGTCTGTCTACCCGAACCCTGATTCTGCTCAAATCCAGTGTGATAACCTTGACTCTTAATTCTAACATTTATGTTTCCAACTCCCAAAATGTAATTATGCACAAGAGAGTTGAAAAAAAACAAAAACAGTTAATTATAAATGTGTAACATTGTGTTGAAAATGTCTAAAATTTAAGGTTTCTTTCATAGCAACCTGCCAACAAATACTATAAATTATATACATTAGGTACCAAAACCAACATTCTACTTATGGGTGTTGTTTACGTTCCGTTGAGAAAAGTTCAAAATAATAGCAGCAGGATTGAAGCTGCTAATTTTAAAGATATTTCTGTTTGACACAAACGCAGTAAAACACTACTGGTAAAAGAAAATCCAGAGAAATAAATTAAAGCATTTTGCAAACTTCTGAATATCCAACATTATTTCTCAACTAGTTGTGCCGCTTTGATTTATGTCGTGAGTTTTTCTGAATTTGGAAAAACTAGCTCGGAGTTTCCTCGATGCTTTAGTTTCGCCATGCTCCCCGCGTGATGGATGTCAGAGCAGCCCTGATATAATTTGCGGAGCTGCTTTAAAAATGAATGTCTGCACACGGTCAGCTGAAAGACGTCTCCGCAGCTCTGAGCTGAGCACTTTGTCTTAACAAGGCCTGTCAGGGCCTGTCCTGTCACACGCCAGCACTTCCTTCTTTTCTCTGCAAGAACTCAAAGATAAAAAAGTCTGAACCTTTTGTGCCACTCAAGTTGACTCAGCGTTACCCCTTTTTTTTTCCTCACAATAACACCATCAGATATTATCCACCTACCAATTTGCTAAGCCTTGTATTTCCAATAATGCTCCTGTCTTTGACACAAAGGCAACAATCGTGAAGACGGGAGCAGAGCGAGATCGTCTGGGTGATGTGGAGACTGCAGCATGACATCTCCATCTCTCAGAGCTGAGGACAGCTGCGGCCCGTGTGGGATGATAAATGGTCGGTGGTGCTCGCAGGTGGAGCAGCTGTCTGCGTTGTGCTCCCGCAAATGTAGTTTTACCACTCAAAAACTGAGATGGGTTTTATTCGCTCCGCTGTTTGTTCACATGCTTTGTGACCCAGAACACAAGGTACATAGAATTTTTTTTAAGCGATGATGAGGGACATTATGTCATTTTAAAATTACAGCATCCCAGACCAGTCCTGAACAAAAGCAACAGCAATGCAGTGACAAAATGTCACACCATCTGCCAGTTGATGTTAGAAAATTACATTTTTGTTGTCAGCAGCCACACTCGTTTGATGCCGGTCTGTCTTTCTTCTTCAGCTTTTAAAAAATATGACCCTTAAAAAAAAAAAAAAACTTTTTGTGATTTTGATCTTTTCATAAGTAATTATAATTTTAACTTGTTAGGGGAAAAAAGCACACTTTTTGGAGCACATCTCCAGTCAAAAATCTCTGAACACATCAAATAAAGATTAAAACGACTGATCATCATTCACACAGTCTATTTGAAGTTTTCTTATTTATCGGGTTTTTCTTTAAAGACTTATGAGCTGAGAACAGTTTGATAACTAGTTGGCAGGTTGGGTAACTTAAAGACCCAAACTAAATCACACCTAACACATTTCACCTATCAAACACAATAAATGTTGTTAAATAAAAAAGATAGGCTGAACCTACAATACACCAAGATATCTATGCTGAGATGGATATATTTGTGGAGCTTTTTTAACTTTGATATAGCAACTAGGGATGCACCAATCCACTTTTTTAAACTTCCGATCCGATCCCGATACCCAAGTCTAAACATCGTCCGATACCGATCCAGTTCCGATATCATGATCATCATTGATTTTATGAAGCTGTAATAATCTCATCTCAAGTACAATTTGTACAAATATATGCATGCATGTCCAAAAAGGCAACTTGAGGTAAGTTGTATTAATGTTGGATAAGTTTTAAAGTTAGAAAACACAAAGTTTGTTTTCTCAGTCATCCAGGTATATAACAACAAA